AACTTACCCAAACATATTCAATAATGCTGTTATTTAACCTCGCATATGTTTAATTAACTTTTAGTAGAAAATATTTATGTTTAGTTACTGCTGTTTATTCCCAAAGTCTTAGATGCAAAAGAAACATATGAGGGGTTTGTCAAAACAAAGGAGATAAATAATGAAAGGCACCCGGAGGGTTCGTTGACAAAAAATTTTTCCTGAAGGGAAAATGAAATTACTGAAGAACCAATTGGCAGTTCTCTTCAATTGTCAATATTGAAAAAAAAATTGCTTCTGTGAGAAAGAAGAGTTTTGTTGTTCATACTGTGTATACATATTGCAGATGTTGTAACTTTTTAGAACGAAATTTCCCACAGGAACTTCATTTTGGATCAAACATTATTCTTGATTCAAAGAATGTTTGCAAATGTTTAGCTGTCGATGTAATTCCGCAAGTCAGTGGTAAACTGATAGTGCATACACAGATAAGAGTGAATAACACGAAAATCGTTAAAATTTCAACGCGAGGGGGAAAACAATATTTACATTGCGCAGCCGAGGAGTGATAAGTAAACTCCAGAGACTAGCAAGAAACCAATCCAATTTAGACACTAAATTGATGTGAGAATACAGATTCTAATCAAATTTCTTACGCAAGGTGGTTTACATGAAGTTTTGTGTGAATTTGATCTTTGAGATCTCTTACAGCTCGTAAATTAATCATGTTCCTGAATGCATCTTTTTCCTGTTTATTTCTAGTTGTGTTTGTTTAGCTCTGTGAGAAATCTCACGCTAATACGGGCCTGAGTAAGCTTTTCACAATTTCGCTTGTCATGCAAAGTGTTATTCAGCGCACTGGAAATCTTGAACACTACACAACAGCTCTTTTAACTTCAAACCAAACACAAATAACAAAAATGAAAAAACTAAACACAAAGCTTATCAAATTGGGGACAACATTCCTACATCAGTACAAAACTCTAGTTCACTTCAAATAGTTAAGAGACCCACGATTGCTTCTAAATAAAGTTAAATTTTTAACTCCCAGATATGACCAAGACAAAATTCTTCTTACAACATCAACACAATATCAAGCATATAAGTGATGAGAATAAAGAAATATATCAATAAGGGGATAATAAGTTGATCTATGACCAAATTCTCCAAACTAACACCATAACATTAGTATGATAGACAGCAAAAAGAATTACTAAATAAGATCTTAGGAGTGAAATGGTTAAGAGGTTTTCCAGGACCAGTACGAAAATACAGGTTAATACAGGTTACAGAAGTCCTCTTGTGGAAGTAGAGAGGGGTTTGCAGAGAACTTCTACAAGACAAAGAAAATGATTACTATAACTGCACCATTGTTGGAACAGAAGTCAAAGAACAAATATTTATAGACTGAGTGATTGTCTGATTGATAATAGTTTGAAAAAAGTAAGGATAATAACTGAATGACTGATTCATTGATTGAATGGTTGAATGATTGATTGAGTAAACGATGAGTTGATGAACCCATTGACCTATCAGTGTGACAAGCATCTAATTTCTCCTTACATTATCACCCCTTAATCACACTTTAAGGTCATGAGAGTAAAGGAAATGATCACAACAAAAGAAGCAATTGATTGTCAAACAAATTCTCCTTATCAGCATCTTAGGAAATGTATAGAGAACAGTATGGAGAATATGCATACTGATGTTAGGGTGTAAAGGGTTGTCTGGTTGATCAATCAATCAAATAACATGTGAATAATATAATTGAAAGATTGATTCAATTATTGAGTAATGATTATATATAGTTGAGAAGTTTTTATCTGTGAACAGTATTAATTACTACATGTACATCAGGGTTATCACTAAGCGCCGGCTGCTGGTGAAACTTGCCGGGTGAAGAAGCGGCAATTACCAGCTGGATTTTGGCCGGCAATCGCTTGGTAAAGCACAGCGGGCACTTCTCAGGTTACACACTTAAATTGTTCATCACCTTTTGGCCTCCTCACTAGAAATTTATTTCAGCTGGCTGAGTAATTTCTTAGCTACAACCTTGCACATGTATCTGTGGGCATGCTTGTTTGACTCTACCTTGTAGATCTGAATATAGATGACCTTTAACACTTGTGCAAATAATCTTCATCCCCATGGAAAAGTTGACATATTTATTTGGATTGCTAAAACAATTCTCTAATTTATATTTTTACTCCTGGATGGATTTCACTACAATAAAGTTAGTGGAAAGTTACTCTGAGGTCTAGCTTTTAAGATATTTCTTTTGCTTGTTTGTTTCATTTTGTTTTATTCTTGTTACTACTTCAGTGAGGGTTGTATTATTGAAGCCCCAGTCCTCGACTGCTTTCCCTCAGACACAACTCATGTTATTAAATATAAAGTAAAACCTTTTGAAAAAACTGTCTGATCATTTCTATTAGTTTTTGGGCCACTGTATGTTTTAGAAGTATAGTTTAAGCAGTTTTTTGTTTTTTTGTTTGTTTGTTTGTTTTTTTTGTTTTTTTGTATCTGTAGAGATTCAAAGAAAGCTCTGATCTAGTCCACCTCTTGAGATCTTCCCAAATGATGAATTTCCACCAAGTTGTGTCTTTCTCTTTGTTGTCTTTTAGACATGTGATCTCTGTAAATCCTGTATCTTGATACTTACTCTCTTGATGACTGCTTGAACAAGGACCAGATTGCATTTGAGCTGGGTGAAAGAGATTGTTCAAGTCAGGGGGGTCTTCCATACTTAGATGAGGGTAAAACTGCTTTATCAATTCAAACCGTGGATCATGGAACTTCACTGTTGATGGACATACCAAAAAAACCTGTTTAGACACATGAATTGTCTGTTAGCAAATAACCTTAAGACCTACACATACTACATTAAGTAGTTTATACACCATTTGCAGTGGACTTAATCATCTACATTTGTGTACAATGGATGATTGCCAATGCTATCAATTTAAAGTAGTCACTGGTTTTATTCAAAGTAGAATCGCATCATTGAATAAAGTCTCACATTTTGATTGGTTAACAAAAAGAGGTATTTAGTGTGCAATTGTGATTTGAAAACGAGGCTAAGTGATATTGTTTCGCATCTACGTAAACATAACAATTTTAAGTAATGCTGCTTCCTTTTTTTTCGCATTTTTATTCAGTTATGCAATTCAAGGAAAATCCATTACTTCACTCGTGAATTCTGGATTAAATTGCACTTGAAAACCGATATCACACTCATCGCTTCATGATTTGTGCGATATCAGTTTTTGCGTGCAATTTAATGTGGAATTCCCACGTCAAGTAATGAATTTTCCAATAAAACTATAGTAAGTTTATTCTTCTGATTTAATGTTATCTTTTAGTGAAACCCCTTTGTATCCACTCCCCTCAAAGGGAGAGGATACTGTGTTTACCAACAACCTGCTTATCTCAAACTGACAAAGAGGGACCTGCTTATCTCAAACTGGATTGGAGTTAATAAGAGTCTTTTTTTTTTTCATACTACAGGCTCAATTACAAAACAATTAAACCTTCATTGCTGGAAAATATTAAGAAGTACATGACCCCAATGTTTCCGGCCTTGCAAACAGGTTAAGAGAACAAGCCAGTTTATTACTGAGTGAGTGTTATCCTGTTATCTTGTTAAATCTTAACACTTCATGTTATTACCAGAGTGGAAATTGACTCTTTTGTCTTGAAGGGGGATGGGGAAGTTCTTGAAAAATGTTAGACTTAAAAAAAAATTAATGTTTTTCACTGTAATATTAATTTTCATTAATATTGGTTTTGTGCCACTGATCCAGACATTTTTGACTTTGATTGCCCTATATAGCTTTATCTCCCTGATATGTTCTTCATTCAATCTTAGTTTACTATATTACATAGGGAGACTCATTGTGGTTGAATCAGCAGTACACCAACAGTAAGCCATACTCACAAAGGCATTTTTCTGGAATTTACCTCTTTCTTCATCCCACGAGCCTCAGTTTTCTCCAAATTTATTGTTAAATGTTTGTATAGCTCATCTCGTGAAGCACCTTTTAAGTCATACAGTGCCAAGTTGTGATACATCCCTTTGTGGGAACTATAAGCCAGCTTGGGCCAAGCTAAAAGATGTTGGGGTGGCATATAGGTGTGGTAAAAAGTCACATGAAATGATGTGCTCAAAGTGTTAATCCGTGTGAAGTGAAGATGCCTTTGGAGATGTGCAAGACATGGGTACACACCCCCTTGATGCAATATTCCAAACATCACGCAGCCAAACACGTTCCAGATACACCAACATAATAGTATTAGGGGTGTAACAGAGGAAGACGAAGAAATTTGGGAAAACACAACTACAAGTGGAACAAGTACTGGGGTGATAAATCGTGCCTCTTGATGTGGTATTAACGACAGCAACACCACAGGAACTAAAATACTAAACAAAAGCATCTTTAAAATGAAATAAGCTCTCATAGCATTACTGGTATTGTCCTTTTTATCATTCGCAGTTTGCAAAAACATCATAGGTACCAGAAACTTTCTTTTCATTGTGGCATAGACAGCATATACATACAAAACTAAAGCTAGAGGTCCAAACAAAAGTGGCATGTTCACCGCAAAATGTGTAATCCTCGGATGGAGACCATGTTGTTTCAGTGAGCTGGTGTCCATGTTGTACAAGAAAAAGTTGAGAGGTGTCAAAACAAATTTTCTCCTTTGCAAATACCCAAAGTAATGAGAGTCCAAAACAACCAAACTGACAATTGTTAGAGCTCCACCAAGACCCAACCAAATGCAGTATTTCATAACATTTGTTACAAGTTTTGAAATCATTTTGTCGATGGACCATCTGAGCAAACAAACATCCAGCAGGCACCAACACAAAGGAACACAAGCAAAGGCCAGAAAAGTGGGACGGATCCAAATCCCTACACCTACGACGGTCCCTATCAAGAAGTATCGTGCCTGGTCCTTTCTTGTGCATAAAGCACTTCTTTTCGCCAAGGAGAGCACAACCAATAGGAGAAGAGAAGCGAAAAATATAGCCTCGGCTGTATTGGAAAACGTCCGCGTATAAAACACCAGAGTTACGAAGGAAGTTCCAAGAAGAAATAAGGACGGTACTGGGTCTGTTCGAAGATTTCGACAAATTACATAAACTGACAAATCGATGATCAAAGAAGCACCCGAGATGAATAGTCTTGGAGCTACAATAATAGATTTTGACGTGGTAGCTTCTACATCCAAGAAAGTCTTCAAGATATACAACGGTAAGCCTGTGAAAGCATATGGGAAGGCTGCAGATCGGACAGGAAATTCTTCTTGGAATTCCCACGTTCTTGTGTGTTTCAATTTAAATATATCTCCAGCAGTGATCTCTGTTGCTTGAAAAAACTCGTCTGGGTGGATGTAGCCTGTTTGTGGAAGGAAAACCCAAAAGAAACGCAGGAAAACTGCAGTCAACCACACACAACCCAGTAGCCGAGCCGCCATATTTAAAGACGAGTTTGAATTAGTGTTACATGACAGTAGCACTGTAACTTCAGTCTGTTTTTTACCGCTGCTCGTTTTCATAGTTCTGTGTGGTTGAACTAATCTCCAGCTAGCTTCAGGTAATTATGTATGCCCGTGCATAGACACGCAAAAATCGACGAGAGATCGCTGGAATGAAATAAAAAGGAGGTATATATTATTTAGCCTTCGTATCGAATTTTTTTTTTGATGGGTTAGATTCAATTCCAAGGTCCCATGTCTGCAAATTTTTTCGTATAAAGTTTGTAGGCTACAATAATTTTTGGTATAAATGTTAAAATGATATTCCTTGAATAAATTTTAACATGATCACCATTTAAAGAAAATTTTTATCCCCTTTGATAGAGTTCTAAGAATACCACGGAGGGTCTGACAGGGAAGCCTGATAAATCAATTATGTTGAGGGGGGCATTGGGGTCTCTGGGAAACCGCAAAACCGGAGAAAAAAACCGACGAAAAAAGGCAGCAAAACCGAAAACCGCATACAAACCCGACAAAACCGTTGTATTCTCAACTTTAAAGGGGTCAAAAAAGAAAACCGAAAACCGCATCAGAGTTTTCGTGAAAACCGAATGCAAAAACACGTAAACTCCGCAAACCGCTCTCTACATCAAAACCGAAAAACCGAACCTTTTTGGCCCAAAAACCGAAAAACCGATCCAAACAGTCAAAATCTCAAAACCCAGCCCCCCTCTATGTTTGTACCAGGGGATATTCTGATACATTCGGAAATTTTGTGATAGAAACCAACACAGTGTATATACAACCCTTGGTTGAAGACGCTACGATTTCAATTAACTGAGTAAGGAGCGTGTAAATGAATTTGGTGAACATCAACACAGGCAGAAGGCTACAGTTTGGCGCCAAAACGTATCAGCAATAGCCTCTATTTGGCGTGAATATATGCACCGATATTTGTCCGCGGACATTATCTGCTCCAAGATGCGAACACTTTTCCGCCAGCAAAGCTCGAGAAACAGAGAATGTCTAAGGACAGAGATAGAGCATATTTTCGGGCCAAATAGAGGACATTGTGTTTATTATCCTTCAATTATTTTGCAGCGGGCGTGGAAAAAATGTTTACGAGCATCCTAATGTTTGCTGCATGGGATGTTTTCCTTTAAGTGTTGTCAGGTACGATAACAACCGCAAAACGCTCTCTCGTCCGAGTAAAATTCCAAGACCTAGCGTAGTGGACGCAAGGTTCGAAAATTGGGGAACAGCACTTTGGTGGTATCCCTGAACATCCCTCAGTTTTCGCTGAGGAATATTTGGTCACGCGCGTTGAGACCAATCGCGCGCAAGCAAAAATACTTTATAACCCGGATATTTGTCAGCGGAGGTTTTCTGTACCGATAAGGGAAGAGTCATACAGAAAAATTCGTTCATTTGCCGCGAAAGTTTTCTCTTCGAACATTCTGTTCCGTCAAGGAAACATATCTAGTGATGCTCTAGAAAACTTGAACTGAAACACCTTTCCTTTTGCGCGACTGAATGATTGCTCTTCAGTAAGTTTCTGAACCATAATTTAAAATAAAAATGCAAAGACAAGCAAAAACCAACGATAAAAACCGACGTTTCGGTGTCATCGTGACGCCATTGTCAAGGAGAAGTAAAAATTACAAAGTTTGCGGCAAGGTGTAACACTAAATTAGCATAAATATGTTAGGAGCTACTTATACAAATACTTTTGCGCGAATTGAATCGCGCTTTGCACGTTCAGAGTGGGTTTTAGGTCTCTGATGAAAAGCATTTCGTTCACCAAACAATCGAACTTGTTACTACACTTTTTCAGAAAGCTAAAACGTGTCAGTAGGTCTTTCGGGACTTCCTGTGCCGTTCGTGGTAGTGTTTATATATTGAAGATGCCTTTCGTTTATGTCCATCCACGCGTGTGTGTAAGTGTCCGCGTGTATAGCCCACATAACCCGCATCACACAGGTCACATTGAAAACGATAAACGACGCGTTGTTGGTTGACGATCTGTGGCTTGATTTATTTTACTTTAAGATCTTGGCCAACTTTGCGGCTAACAAATACTGGCTGGACAGTTGTCTGCACCTTCATGCTTAGATTCTTGAGCTCTTTCTTAACATTTTGCTGATTACTGATCTTTGAAAGGTATGACCACACGAACAATGTTCTAATTTAAAATAAAACATTTTCTTGACTAGAAGATTAAACTACTTGCAAATAAAAATAAGGGAAAATAAGATGAAGAAGAACAAACAAGAAAAAAAAGGAAGAAAACGGACAAGAAAAATAAATTCGTACAAAACAGTCCGAATGCGACAACTTCGGGTTTGAAGCGTGCGAGGACCAAGTCGCCCGTCTTTTCGATTGTGTCTTCTTATCTAGAGCCTGTTAATCAAAACAAAAATGATCTACAAACTGCTAAGCGGAGTGGACCAAAGTGTCTCCGTCACGATTCGATGGGAAAGGTACACCCCTTTTCGCTTTGGATTCCTCCAAGATGTAAGGGTTTCCAGCATGCTTCTGGGTTCTTCATATCCAATCATATTATTTCTTTAGCTAGCGACAACAATTGTTGTCATGTATTTTCTTTGAAACATGATGTGATCAATTAGCAATGTTCTACGTAGAAAATCTCAGAATAAAACAAATTTTAAAACCATTGTCCAGCACGAGAGCTCTTCATAATTAATCTCACCTTGACTCGTCTTTCATGTAAGAGCTTACAAGGTTCATTAATTCACTGGGTGCACAGTGGCCCCTAAAGTGACCCCAATAGTTACCTATAAAATATATGGTTCCCTATCAAATATAAAGTTACCTATCAAATAATTATACGGAAGGCAATTTGAACGGCTGGGTTTTCGAACACTGTTTAATTAAATTAGCTTTGAAAGCTGGAAATCGGTTTTATTTACCCTTTAACCTCCAAGATCTGATCAGTTCTTTCCTACAGCTGCCACATTTTTCTTTGTAAATAACTTGCAAGAGTTTGGCGTTGGATCAAGATGCCAACGTCTCCCTGGTAAGTTCGAGTATTCTCATTACCTGTTCGCTGGATATTGTGTGGATATTATACGGAGAAGTTACATTTTAATCACTTCTGGGGAATACAGAGTTAATATAAAGTCTGTCAATAAAACGGCTAAAAGCAAGACATGATTCTAATGAAGACGTAATAACGAGTAAAAGATAGTCTACCAAGACCAAGTTACTAATTTCTTTTTAACCTTTAGTATAATCAAGAAATTAAAAACGAGAGAACATTCAATCAAAGAAAGCTAAGCATTTGTTGGACTAAGCGGAAAGATAGTGGGCTTCGAAGAAGTTCTTTTCACAGCAAAAGGTCCTCTGCCACAGGGTCTTCATCTTGGACACGCGAGGGAACAAAGCGGATCTTCTCCTCTAAATTAACTCTTGGAGTCTTTTGTTTTCTAGGCGAACGGATCTTTTGCAGCATTGGGAGGCGGACATTACCAGTAACACACATCTCGGCAGCCAAGTCACACCTGATACACGAAAGGCAATAGAGAAAGGTAAATTTTGAAAGATGACTGAAACAAGAAAAGAAAGAAAGAAAAGGGGGAAAAAGATTCTTCGAAATGAGTCACTCACTAAAAGTAACGACCTTGAACCAAAAGGCAGGATTGGGTCCGTAAGCTTATAGGCAACTGACTAAATGGCTATGCGACTAAAGCACTGAATAGCTGGCTGAATGATTTGAGGAAGAAGTGATAAACAAACAAACAAATTAACGAAAAAATGAATAAGACCGAAATGAGAACAATAGGTAATGATTAAGTATAAAAAAAAGAAACTAACACAATTATGATGAACGAAAAATAGGGTGGGTGAGAACTTTTAGACAGTATTACCTATATCCTGAGGGACAGCAATGTTCGTGATCTTCACAGCAAACTGCATGTGGTAAAGGACAACAGCCAAAACGTCCATCAGACAGCACACAGCAGGTCTCGTAATCTAAACACGAACATCCATCAGGGCACTTAATGTACTTCTGTTCAGTGTCTAGAAACAAAATGAGGAAAAATTGCATGGAGATCCTTCGCACGCAAATGATAGTTTAAAACAGGTTTATCCCAAAACCAGTTTATTCCTCTTTTTAAGAAAAAAAATCAGAAGATGAAAGTTATAAATTGGTCGCATACATTTATGTCTTAATCAATTCAATCAACTACCAAAGCAGTTCGCAAAGAATTTTGAAATACATACCCACTGATGATCTGGAAGACGGAACATTGGCAATCATCTTTATGTGTTCAGCGTTTTTAATACATTTACCTGGAGTTACACAAAGAGGGTTAATTTCTCAATATTGAGACTATTGAACGAGTATTAAATAAGTTTTAACTGTTTTTTTAGAAAAAATACAACATACCACCGCCGCCGCCGCCCCAAACAAAAAAAGAATGCTTTAGTTGGTGAGACTGACGTATCTGTGTCGAGAATCTAAACATTACCGTCTGTCTGAAAGGGTAAAGGAATCACACTCTGCACCACATACCTCCTTCGACGTCACATGTGTACCCGTTGGGGCAGCAGTGGATATGGTCACTGCAACAAACAGCATTCTTTATCGGGCAGCAACCGTAAGTTCCAGAGGGAACTCTACAGCAGGTACTCCCATTAGGACACTGATATTTTTTATCAGGGCATAAGACGCCATCTACTGCCTTTATGTAAGTAACTGCCTGTAACGCTGCATGCATCTGTAGTGAAGCTATACTGCTGCTTCCTTGCTTACAGGTTCCAGCAGATACATCACAAGTATATCCATTGGGACAGCAGTGCTTTCCATCGCTGCAGCAAACAGCATTTGGAAGAGGACAACAACCATATTGACCTGACGAAAGTCTACAGCAAGTGTTTCCATCCGGACACTCAGACTGGCCACCAGGACAAACAACGTTACTAGCATCCTTTTCCCTTTTCAATGCTGGTAGTCTCTGTACCATAGGCATACTGCTGCTTCCTTGCGTACAGGTTCCAGCAGACACGTCACAAGTATATCCATTAGGACAGCAGTGCTCTCCATCGCTGCAGCATACAGCATTTGGATAAGGACAACAACCGTATTGACCTGAAGAAAGTTTACAGCAAGTGTTTCCATCTGGACACTCAGACTGGCCATCAGGACAAACAACGTTACTACCATTCTTTTCTCTCATTAATGCTGCCAGTTTCTGCACCATAGGTATACTGCTGCTTCCCTGCGTACAGGTTCCCGCAGATACATCACAAGTATATCCATTAGGACAGCAGTGCACTCCATCGCTGCAGCAAACAGCATTTGGAAGAGGACAACAACCATATTGACCTGTAGAAAGTTTACAGCAAGTGGTACCATCTGGACACTCAGACTCGCCATCAGGACAAACAACGTAACTTGCAGCACTTTCTCTTTTCATTGCTGGCATTTTCTGAAACATTTCTATACTGCTGCTTCCTTGCGTACAGGTTCCAGCAGATACGTCACATGTATATCCAGAAGGACAGCAGTGCTCTCTATCGCTGCAGCAAACAGCATTTGGATATGGACAACAACCGTATTGACCTGAAGAAAGTTTACAGCAAGTGTTTCCATCTGGACACTCGGACTGGCCACCAGGACAAACAACGTTACTAGCATTCCTTTCTCTTATTAATGCTGGCAGTTTCTGCATCATAGGCATACTGCTGCTTTCCTGCGTACAGGTTCCCGCAGATACATCACAAGTATATCCATTAGGACAGCAGTGCTCTCCATCGCTGCAGCAAACAGCATTTGGATAAGGACAACAACCGTATTGACCTGAAGAAAGTTTACAGCAAGTGTTTCCATCTGGACACTCAGACTGGCCATCAGGACAAACAACGTTACTACCATTCTTTTCTCTCATTAATGCTGGCAGTTTCTGCACCATAGGTATACTGCTGCTTCCCTGCGTACAGGTTCCCGCAGATACATCACAAGTATATCCATTAGGACAGCAGTGCTCTCCATCGCTGCAGCAAACAGCATTTGGATAAGGACAACAACCGTATTGACCTGAAGAAAGTTTACAGCAAGTGTTTCCATCTGGACACTCAGACTGGCCATCAGGACAAACAACGTTACTGGCACTCTTTTCTCTCATTAATGCTGGCAGTTTCTGCACCATAGGTATACTGCTGCTTCCCTGCGTACAGGATCCTGCAGATACATCACAAGTATATCCATTAGGACAGCAGTGCTCTCCATCACTGCAGCATACAGCATTTGGAAGAGGACAACAACCATATTGACCTGTAGAAAGCTTACAGCAGGTGGTTCCATCTGGGCACTGGGACTCACCATCAGGGCAAACAACACTATTTGCGTCACTCTTTCTTTGAACAGCTGGCAACTTCTGCAAGAAAGTTATACTAGTGGTTCCTTTGGAGCAGGTTCCAGCGGAAACGTCACACGTATATCCATTAGGACAACAGTGCTCTCCATCGCTGCAGCAAACCGCCTTTGGAAGAGGACAACAACCGTACTGACCAGAAGAAAGTTTACAGCAAGTGGTATCATCTGGACACTCGGACTCACCATCAGGACAAACAATGTTACTTTCAGCACTTTCTCTTTTCATTGCTGGCTTTTTCTGGAACATAGCTATACTGCTGCTTCCTTGTGTACAGGTTCCAGCTGACACATCACAAGTATATCCATCGGGACAGCAGTGCTTTCCATCGCTGCAGCAAACGGCCTTTGGAAGAGGACAACAACCATATTGACCTGAAAAAAGTTTACAGCAAGTGTTTCCATCTGGGCACTGGGACTCACCATCAGGACAAACAACACTATTTGCATCACTCTTTCTTTGAACAGCTGGCAACTTCTGCAACAAAATTAAAGTAGTGGTTCCTTTGGAGCAGGTTCCAGCAGAAATGTCACATGTATATCCATTAGGACAGCAGTGCTCTCCATCGCTGCAGCAAACAGCCTTTGGAAGAGGACAACAACCGTACTGACCTGAAGAAAGTTTACAGCAAGTGGTATCATCTGGACACTCGGACTCGCCATCAGGACAAACAATGTTACTTGCAGCACTTTCTCTTTTCTTTGCTGGCTTTTTCTGAAACATAGCTATACTGCTGCTTCCTTGCGTACAGGTTCCTGCTGAAAGGTGACAAGTATATCCATTGGGACAACAGTGCTTTCC